AAGAGGCGAAACGTTGGTGTCGTTTCTATAACCAATAAAGACATTTATATATATATAGACATTATTTTGTAATTAGTTAATTACCCTGGTAATAATTGATGTTATACATTTGTATACCTTATGCAATTTTAAATTAATAATGTTTTATTTCATTATTACCAAGGTGTTGTGCAAAAAAAAAAACGAAAACTGATTTAAAATTAATTGTTACGTGGATTGAGTTGCGATTACATAAAGGTACATTATGTACTTGTACACTAAAACCGAATTTAGAGCCGAACATAGGGATATTACATCCGGCATCATCTTTTGAAAAATATGACGTGGTATAGGGTAATTTGGTGCAAAAACCTTTAGCCATTTCGTATAATTAATAAAAAGATCGAAGTCTTTGTTTAAACTACAGTTTTTAGAGAAACAGGTGATGTTTTCACCAAAATATATATTCCACATGTTATGCGACATAAAAAGAGAAAACGTTGACAAAGAAATGTGTAACTTCCATGTTCGGTACAGTTTTTACCTTACCTATATACATATGTATATACAGGTAAGGCAAAAATAGTCCACCGGACATGGATATGTTATAGATTAATGTTTGCGCCTACTGAAATATAGATAATAATTAAGTGAATGTGCATTATTTTTTTCAGAACTGCAGTCAGAAGAAATGGCCCTGGAGAAGGCAAAAGAAACGGAGGCCGAAATACCGGACACTCCAGAAAGTGATATAGACGTGGCAACTTTTAAAATAAAATATTTAGGTTTGTATCTAATTCACATTGTTCATATTTATGATATACAATCAATTATAGTTGTAAATACACGGCGCGATATAAAAATTTTGAATCAGTTAAATAAAAACCACTAAAAACCATGTATGTAATTGCCGAAACAGTTCACTTATAACAATAAGGAACATTGTCCTTCGAGATGAGCCATTTATTTGAAATAATTACAGAAATGAATAGAAGGGATGTTCTTAAGCAGTATTTTTCGATTCCATTACTATTTTTTTTGCCAGGAGACGTCAAAATTGGCCAACATTAGTCTGTTCTGGCTAATTGGCTAATTCTTTATCGATTTTGATTAATGTTTAAAATTGAAGAAAAACTTGACGTCGTCCCCCAGCGGAAAACTAGCCACAGAATCGGAAAACTCCTACTACCTACTAAGGGTTCCCATTTCCACGATTATCTTAAATTACCCAACTCGAAGGACAAATTTGCAATGGAGGGATTTTTATTCCTTACAAATTGTACTTATGCCAAGTGATCAGTTAAATTATTGAAATTTTGAATAGCTAATACATTTTTTAACGTTAGCATTAAAATTAGAAAAAGGGAGCTTCTTAATTTCAAAAGGAATGGCTAATTCAGATTAATTTTAGCATCTTGGCAGTAGTACCTTCGTTGAGATAGTATGAGTGCCAAAATTGTTGAATTTTATCCAAATATAACACTTGTACGTGGGGGTTGATTTTTTCAACTTTGTAGGTCACGAAAATGATTTAATCCAAATCATCCACTTTATAACCTTGACAGGTGCCTAATAATAACTTTTTTATTTGGCATACAATTAAGAGTTTTGCTCGTGTGACCAGAAATTACCTACATTCCAAACCTTTTAGACTACGCCGCGTATAAATTGTATTAAATTTTATCATATGGACTTCGGAACTTTTTTTAACCTTGACTGAATAAAAGTGTAAAAAAAAAAATAAAAACCAACTTGCATACAATTACCATATGATTCTCTATTTAATTTTTTATGGAGCGCTTCTTGGAAACGGCGGTTTTGTTGTGAAAACTACTACGACTTAAAAAACAAAGCGTGCAAACGTGTACCATGACACCAACAATGAAATAATGTGGCGTTATTCCTTCCCCAAGTTCTAATGTGAACAAAAGAATCAAGACAAAAGAGGGTGACAATGTCTATATTGGTTTTAGAACCAACGCCAACGTTTCGCCTCTTGTTGGAAAGTTTTATCAAAGTAGATTCTTTTAGTTACCTTGATAAAGCTTCCTAACAAGAGGCGAAACGTTGGTGTCGTTTATATAACC